GCTCCTGGGCCAGCCTCGAATTTCTGAGGCTGGTCTTCAAATATGTCACCCCATCCGGCAGCCCCTACCCACCATGGGACTTATCATTCCCTCCAGCCTCTGCTCGCTAACTGGGCGCGGCTGACCAAAGGAAAGCCCCAGCGCCCCCATCCGGCCTTAAGCCCCTGGAACTGGATTGAGCCTGTCTCTGCCCCCACAGAGGTGAACTTCCAGGCAGACCTGGCCGACCTGACGTGCGAGATCGAGATCAAGCAGAAACTGATCGACGAGCTGGAGAACAGCCAGCGGCGGCTGCAGACTCTCAAGCACCAGTATGAGGAGAAGCTGATTCTCCTGCAGAACAAGATCCGAGACACGCAGCTGGAGCGAGACCGCGTGCTGCAGAACCTCAGTGAGGCCACCACCCCGCCCTCGATTTCCCCTGAGGCCCCTCCCTCCACTGTCACAAGCCCCGCCCAGCAGCTGGCACCTGTGGGATTTACCTGGTCTCCTGGGCAAGGGCTTCTGACCCATGGACTGTGGCCCTTTGACCCACTGTCATCAATGTCTTAGGTCTAACCCTAGTTTCGTGCTACATTTTACATTTATTATTCTTTTATTGGCATCTTTGGTATTAGAATCCTTTATTTCCCTAGGCACATGGACCTGATGCTCCTCAGCTTTTTTTCTGCATTCAGTTCCTGGAGCATTTTCCTTCGAACCTATTTACAAACCTACTTGTCATATTCTGTCTTCTTTATACTGCTTTTTAGCAGTAATTCATTCAATTACTGTTTCACTCATTCATCCACTGATTCAGCAAACATTTGTTGACTCTGTCTTATAGAGCTGACATTGTTCTAGGTCCTAGAGATATTGGGGTGAGCAAAATCCCTGCATCACGAAGTGTACATTCTGATGGGCAGAGACAGACGTAAATACGATAAGTAAACAGAGTGGGTGACATGTCCGATGCTGATAAGTACCAAGAAAAAAATATACAGCAGGGAAGGAGGTCAGGGAGTGTTGGGGAGCGGGTTAGAGTTTTATTTATTTTTTTTTTTTAATTTTTTTTTTCAACGTTTATTTTTTTATTTTTGGGACAGAGAGAGACAGAGCATGAACGGGGGAGGGGCAGAGAGAGAGGGAGACACAGAATCGGAAACAGGCTCCAGGCTCTGAGCCATCAGCCCAGAGCCCGACGCGGGGCTCGAACTCACGGACCGTGAGATCGTGACCTGGCTGAAGTCGGACGCTTAACCGACTGCGCCACCCAGGCGCCCCTGGTTAGAGTTTTATAAAGGATGGTCATGGAAGACTTCACGGAGGAGGTGACATCTGAGCAGACTTGAAGGAGGTGAGAGAGTGCCAGCGCAGAATGAGCACAGGGCTGAGCATTCCAGGCAGAGAACAGAAGATGCCAAGGCCCTGAAGTGGGAGTGTGCCTGGCATGTTGGTGGAACGACAAGGGACAGACAGCTGGAACACGGTGAAAGGGGGCAAGTGGCAAGAGATGAGACAAGAAAGACGGGAGCAGGTCGTGTCCGTCACTGGAAGGACCTTGCTTTATTCTCTGAGGGAGATGGGAGGGTGTGGAGTTTGGAGAGAGCGATGTGATGTAGATTTTAAAAGCATTTTGAGAAGAACACTCTGGCTGATGTGGAGGGGAATGAAAGTGGTAGCTTGAGACTAATTAGAAACTGTTACAAAAGATTCTGGTGAATCATTAGCGGCAAAAAAAGACAGCGAAGAAGAAATAAATAACCGTGGTGAAAGAGGATTTAGACAACATGGGCTTGAGGAGTGGTCCAGTTCTGGATCCATTTTTTAGGTAGAGGAAAAAGCTTTTGTTGACTGGGTAGAAGACGTAAGGTGAGCCAAAAGTGTCTCCAGGGTTCAAGCTTCTGGAAGGATGGTGATGGCATCTACTGAGAAGGGGAAGCCTGCTGGGGTGAGGGGGACAGAGATTGGGAGTCTGGTCTTGTGCCTGTTAAGTTTGAAGTATCTGCTGCACATCCCCAAGGGGACGCCTGTGCGCATTCTGGGCAGCAAAGGTCAAGGGTAGAGAAATCAGTTTATTCCTTCTGCTCTGGCCCGCATCACTGTCTTCGTACTAGCTCTTTCCTTCCCACTGGCCTGGTTCTTTCCTCTAGTTATGGGTCAGAGCTAAGCCAGCAGGAGTGGCCCACAGGACCCTCCCAGGAGGCTCAGAGGTCTCGAGATGCAGACACCCCCTCCAGGTCCAGTAGAAAGTCAGAGCAGGAAGGGGACTTGGCATCTTCCAGTCTGATCCCTTCAGTGTTTAAATAAGAAACAGGCGCACAGAGGCGTGTGACTTGCTCAGGGTCCCGCAGTGAGACTAGAACCCGGGCTCCCGCCCCCCACCCCCCACCATCTGAGCCCGAAGCTGACATAGCACTGACAGCCGCCTCTTGCTGCTCTCAGGCACCATGGAGTGCTACACGGAGGAGAAGGCCAACAAGATCAAGGCGGACTATGAGAAGAGGCTGCGGGAGATGAACCGAGACTTGCAGAAGCTGCAGGCCGCACAGAAGGAGCACGCGCGGCTGCTCAAAAACCAGTCCCGCTATGAGAGGGAGCTGAAGAAGCTGCAGGCCGAGGTGGCTGAGATGAAGAAGGCCAAGGTAGGGCCGAGGGGGTGCGCAGCAGGGCTGAGGGGTGGCCGTGGGACGTCCTCTTAGAATCCACTTACTGTGTTAAAAATAACCATCGCTATCAGCGTGGAAATCTTCCCGACGCACAGCATTGCGTAATTCAAGCCCGTCCTGGCCCTGGACACTGTCATCTGAGCCGGGTTCACGGTCCAGGGTGAAGCCACCTCTCCCAGTAGAGGGGCAGGGGAGGAACTCGCGGGACGCTGCTCAACACTGCCCCCTGTGGTAGGAAACTGCGCCACAGTTGCCCCCAGTCCTCCCAAGTACATGTGAGGGATCGCCCGGGTGCTGGGCCTTGGCCTACAGTGATAATAATCATTACTGTTGTCTGAATGCTTACTGTGGTCAGGCTCTAGGCTAGTGGTCTCACATGCATGAGCATACTAAGTACTCAGGAGAACCTCATGAAGGAGGCCCTATTATTATTCCCATTTCGTGCATGGGAAAGTGAGGCTCAGAGAGGTCCCTTCCAGCTACCCAAAGTTAGCGCTGGGATTCAAACTCACTTCTCTGCCTCCTAAGCCAACTTGAGTCCTGTGTGGCATGGTGCCTTTTCCACTTTGCCGTCACCCAGAGTACTTAGTCTCTGGGGCCTGGAGTCTGCTCCTGAAGCTCTGGTTTCTTGGCTCAGGTCTTCTGCCTCCGACGTCTGAGTATGTTCTTGTTCTGGCCTGCGGCCCGGCACCTCCACACTCCCTTCGTGTCCTCCCTCCCCCTGGCCTTCCTGGCCCTGCTGTCCTACCCTGGCCCTTAGCCCCTCATGCATTCCAGCTCTCCCCAGCCCTGGGCCAGGCCCTGAAGCTAGACCCCCTCGCAAAACCTGGCATTGGCAGCCGTCCCAGCAAGCTGTGGAGGGCTGGCCTCAGAAATGGGAGCACCAAAGGTGCTTCAGGCTGATGGGACAGCAGTATGGACTTGGGGAGCCGTTAGTAACTGTGGCCTCACCGCTGACTCACGTGTTGACCTGCGTGCAGAGGAAGGAGGCCATGCGCTAGTGATGCATTCTGAGAGGAGGTGGGCTCTGAGCCATCGGGTAGTCCTGGCCACCTCTCCCGGGCACGCTCTGTCTCCAGCCTCAGCTGGGCCACAGATCCAGGGGCTCCATCAGCCTGGCCAGGCTGTTGCTTTACTCAGGTTGGCTGGCCTGACCTGGTCCCAAGGAGTGCCCTCTGGTGGTGTAGAAGGGAGTGACCAGGGGGCCTTGGTTTTTCCCTGGGGGAAGCAGCGCACCCATCAAGGTTTGTGTTGTGTAGTCGCTCCTGGGCCGTGTATCTGTGTCCTCACTCTGTGTCTCCCTGGAGGCTCACTGGCTAACGCCCCTGCAGCCTGAGCTGGCCAGTGCACATCCTAGCTGGGGTGACCCTAAATAGAGCCTCGTAAGGGAAGCCTGGCGAAATAATATGATGTCCAGGATATCCAAAGGACCGAGGACCCACCAGTCTTCCTGCATTTCAGTCTCAGGATTGCCAGGGCCCTTCAGCCAGCTGCCCATCTAACTGTGTTCTCATGAGCCCTGGCTAGAGGTAGAAAAGAACCTTCCAGGGGTGCCCCAGCAGGGCCCAGGGTTCTGTTAGAAGGACAGATGGTGCAGCAACCTCGGGTTCTAACCTGATGCCATGAGAGCCAGTGTCTAAGAACCCTCCCGCCTCGGTTCAGCTGCAGTGTGATTCACAGAATTGAACCCATGTGGGGTCCACGGTCCCCAGGGTCTCCTGGGAGATGAGACAATGCCTCCTACTTCAGATGTACAGAGCAATGCTGGTCTCAGGCACTGTGACCCATGTCCGCACTGCTGTGTGCCTGGGATATTCCTGCCCCTTCTGAGACCTTCCCCTCTGTGCAACTTGGCCACACATGTGAAGTTGGGTGGGTGGGCTTCTGTCTAGGGGTACACAGTTCTTCCCCAGGAAGCCTCTGACCCCTGACCCCAGCAGGTGCCATCTCAGGTTTGCACACAGCTTCTAACATGTTCTCAGGTCAGCCCGGGGCTGTCTGCTCAATGCCAGTTCTTTGGGAAAAAACTCATTCTTGACCTTGAAGACCCAGCAGCTGCCAGCCCTCCTCTACAGATTCACCCCTGCAGGGCCTGCCCTCTGTGGGAGAAGCCAACCTCCCCAGCCCCCAGCCCCCTTGGAGCCTCCTTCCCTCCCATGCCATTTCCACTCGAGACTGTCTTCAGGGCACTGCAGGCTGGTGACATTCCTGGAGATGTCTGAGGCCTCAGTGGCAGAGAAGGATCAAGCTCTGTGTGACTTTCATTACCCTGTCACTTGGAAAGTGTCTAAAACCCCGTGTACATTGCCCTGTCCTTCTTTGGCCACCAGCACTTGGCAGGAGGGGGCGGATGCCGTGAGGTCCCAGGCACAAGCTCTCTATCATGTTGGGTCATCTCTGGCCACTATGATGATGCTCTCTGTGCCTTTGTCACAGCTCTGACAACCCCAGGTTCTAGGCTTTCCAAGCTTTGATCACTGGCTTTGCTCTGAACTGGCATGCGGTCCTCCCTGGGGCTAGAGTAACAGCTGGAGTTTGGGGACAAAATGACCGGGGCCAAAACTCTGACCGTTCATTACCAGTTTTATGACTCAGTCATTGGTCTCTCTGGGGCTCACTTCCTTATTTATAAAACGAGAACAGTAATGCCTCTCTCATGTGACTGTCACAAGAACAGTGCCTGGCGTATTGCATGTTCTCGATAAATGGTGGTGGCTTTTATTGTTGTCACTGGGAGCCTGGCCCTGATATGTGGCCTTGACCCCCACCTCAGCCCTGTCTGCAGCTCAGTTGTCAGTGGGAGAGAGGAATGTGCCCCACCCAGGTAGGATTACCTGCCTCCAGCAACCTGGGCTGGGTCTCCAGGGGCCAGACCCAGGACCCAGGTTTGGGTAAAAGCCACCAAGAGCTGTGACATTTGGAAGTGGGGGGCCAGGATTAGACCTGGCAGAGTCATTGCAGCTGCACATCTGGGCTGGCAGCTTGCCCGGGCATGGGGCAGCTTCAACTACCACGGAAGAGGAGGGGCAGACCCCTGAGCCCCGGGCCACCACCCTGCCCAACATCCCCAGAGCCAGCTGCTCCCCGGAGGGTATGGGCCCCCCACTGCCCAGACCCCCTCACCCTTGCCATGCCTGCCCGTCCCAGGTGGCCCTGATGAAGCAGATGCGTGAAGAGCAGCAGCGGCGGCGGCTGGTGGAGACTAAGAGGAACCGGGAGATCGCTCAGCTCAAGAAGGAACAGCGGCGACAGGAGGTGCGAGGCAGCCCTTGGGGACCCCCAGCCTCCCTGTGTGCCTGGCTGCCCCTCGGTTCCCACAGCAGGGCATGGAAGGGCCAGGGCACGGCAGGCTTCTGGTCCAGCCCCTCTAGTGTCTGGGGGTGGGGGGCGCAGGGCATGGGGGACCCGAGCCCCAGATGGCAGGACCCTGCCCAGGGTCACCAGCAATCCAGAGCCGGAACTGTGCAGCGTCCAGCCCCGAGCCCCCTAGTCCCGGATCCCTTGCTGTGCGGTGGAGAAGAGGCTCAGGGAATTGCCTGCACCGAGAGAAGGGTCTGCACTGTGACCTCCGGGAAGGGGAACCAGACTCCGCGTCCCCTTTTATCAATAAGTTTTGGCTACACAGGAATCAGCCCGAAAGCCAGGCCGTCACCTACAGAGGTGGGCAGACCAGGCTGCGGGGCCGAAGTGTGGACCCCAACCCCCTTCTCTCACCCACAGTTTCAGATCCGAGCTCTGGAGTCCCAGAAGCGGCAGCAGGAAATGGTCCTGAGGAGGAAAACCCAGGAGGTGAGCGAGACACAGTTCCCCTTCTCCTGAGTTCCTCCAGAGCCGGGAGGGAACAAGTGCCCGCTGGCAGTGGCCCTGGCTCTCCCTTTTCTCTCAGCAAACACGATGGAGCAGAGCCTGCGCGAGGCCTGCTGTAGGGCCTTGCTCAACAAGAGGGCCGAGGCCTGAAGACAGGCTGCAGGCTCTGGTCCCAAAGGCCTGAGACCTTAATTCAAAAGGTGGAAGTCTCTTGTATTCATTTCATATCAAACAGAGAGCCCTTGGCTCTTTCTCAGTCCCAAGCTCACCCTGGATGGAGCAGCTCCTGTAGTCTCCCCTTCCGGCCCCTCCCCCCCAATTTGGGCCTTTTCACAGGTCCCCGGGTGCCCTGCTCACTGGGTTCCTCTTTTCTTGGCCACAGGTTTCTGCACTGAGGCGCCTGGCCAAGCCCATGTCTGAGAGGGTGGCGGGGCGTGCAGGACCGAAGCCACCCATGCTGGACTCGGGGGCTGAGGTGTCAGCCAGTACCACCTCATCTGAGGCCGAATCAGGGGCCCGCTCTGTCTCCAGCATCGTGCGCCAGTGGAACCGCAAAATCAATCACTTCTTGGGGGACCACCCCGCGCCTGCCGTCAACGGCACCCGCCCCGCCAGGTGAGCCGGGCGGGCAGTACCCTGGCTTCCGTGGGCAGAGCGGGCAGAAATATGGGGGCAGGAGCAGAGAGAGGCAAGCTCAGGGGAAGTGTGGTCCTGTGACGGGTCCCCATGGCCGTCGGCTCAGGGCTGAGGGGGACCACGGAGCTACAGAGGCTGAGAGTGCTCCCTTCCAGGTGGTGGGGGGATGGGGATTAAAGAGTACACTTTTCATGATGAAATAAAATGATAAAAAACATGCATTTGCCCCCAAAAGAACATATTATTAACATTGTTTAATTACAAAATACTATAGAGAACCTGGGGGTGGGGGAGGGAAATGTAGAAAGGGAGCGTTCCCAACCAATTCCCTTTGCCTCTGTCTCCCAGAAAGAAGTTCCAGAAGAAGGGGGCCAGCCAGAGCTTTAGTAAGGCTGCCAGGCTCAAGTGGCAGTCCCTGGAGCGGAGGATCATTGACATCGTCATGCAGAGGATGACCATTGTCAACCTGGAGGCTGACATGGAGCGGCTCATCAAGGTGGGCTTGACCACAAGGAGCCTGGGGCTCCCGTCTCCCCTTCCTTCCCGTCTGCACTCCTCCTCCTATCCTCTGCCACTTCTGACTCCTCCAGCTCATCAGACCTTCTCATCCCCATTCCGCTCACTCCTTGTGCCTGCTCTGGAATCCGGAGGTGCAGGGGGACCCAGGGACCCCACCTGGGGGGGAGCTGTGGGCAGGGCTGGGCAGCAACCTGAGGCTTGTCCTCCATCACCCTCCCTGCAGAAAAGGGAGGAGCTGTTCCTCCTGCAGGAGGCGCTGCGGAGGAAGCGGGAGCGGCTGCAGGCTGAGAGCCCGGAGGAGGAGAAGGGGCTGCAGGAGCTGGCGGAGGAGATCGAGGTGCTGGCAGCCAACATTGACTACATCAACGACAGCATCACCGACTGCCAGGCCACCATCGTGCAGCTGGAGGAGACCAAGGTGCCCACAGGGCCTGGCCTGGCCTGGGCGGAGGCAGAAGGGATGAGGGGGGTGGGGGACAGTCTCAGTGACAAGGGATCTCTACCTCCCCATCGTAGGAGGAGCTGGACTCCACGGACACATCGGTGGTCATCAGTTCCTGCTCCCTGGCCGAAGCCCGTCTCTTGCTGGACAATTTCCTCAAGGCGTCCATTGACAAGGTGGGCCAGCAGCTCACCTCCCGGGCGGGGGGCCCAGCAGTCACGGGCGCCTCCGTGATCTACCCTCATGGTGAAGCACACAGGCCTGGCTCCTGAGCTGCGTCACTTACAGGCTAGGACAAGCCGCCCCACCCCCAAGCCTCTGATTCCGAAGCTGTAAAGCTGGGGTGATGACAATAGCAAGCTCTTAGCTTGCTGCGTGGCTTTAACAAGATGATGCATGCAAAGGGCTTGGCATGATGCCTGGCACATAGCAGGGCCTCCCATTAGAAGTGACCCTACGTGTCTGGTCCAGGCCCATCCACAGCAGGGCTCGAGTCTGCTGGGAGAAGCATGTATCTGTATGTCAGGACAGGGGCAGCGGGAAACAGATAGACCACATTCCTCTCAGGAAGATTTACACTCGGACATCAGATCAACCTGTCCTGTGCTCCTGTCCTCTCGCCCTGACAGCTGGCCAGGGGATGGGCCTCCTTCCCCCTGGGGCCTGTGGTCTTTGGGGACAGACACCATGTAGAGTGTCTGGCAAGGTGGTGGGGAGACCCGCTCTGCTCGCACTAAGCTCTTAGCTCTACTCTGTGTTTTAGGGGACTGTGTTAGTCTCCTAGTGCTGCCATGACAAAGGGCCGCAGACTGGTGGCCTAAACAACACAGATTGATTTTCTCAGTTCTGGAGGCTAAAAGTCCAAGATTAAGATGTCGGCAGGATTGGTTGCTTCTGAGGCCTTTCTCTTTGGTTTGTAAGCAAGTGCCTTCTCGCCTCGTGCAGTTTTCCCTCTGTGTGTGCCTGTGTCTTAATGTCTTCTTATTAGAAGGCCTCCAGTGATACTGGATTAGGGCCCACCCTAAGAACCCCATTTTAACCTAATCACCTGTTTAGAGACCCTATCTCCAAATACAGTCACATTCTGAAGCCCTGGGGGTTGGACTGTCAGCATGTGAATTTGGGAAGGTGGGGGCACAACTCAGCACATAACAGGGGAACGTATCTAAGGCGACCTCTCCTGACATGTGTACACGGGGAAAGTTAGAAGGGTGGGGTTGCATCTCTGGTCTGGGGCAGGTACGAGGGTGATGTCTAGGAGTTAGCCCAGGTCTGGGACAGCAGGTACACGGGTGATGTCTGGGAGGGCCACCCTCCAAGGTGCCTTGGGAGCAGGTTGTCTGAGGGTGGTGATGAAGGTGCCCACAAAGCCAGGCTGGGAATGGTAACCCCTGGCCTGGTTCCTTGCCCACAGGGGCTACAAGTGGCACAGAAGGAGGCCCAGATCCGGCTGCTAGAGGGACGGCTGAGGCAGACAGACATAGCGGGTTCCTCCCAGAACCACCTGCTCCTGGATGCCCTGCGGGAGAAGGCTGAGACACACCCTGAACTGCAGGCCCTCATCTACAACGTGCAGCAGGGTATGGTGGGTGTGGGCAGAGGCCTCGAAGCTCCTAGATTCTTCTAGTGCTCCCTAGCTCCAACCCCTGGGGTAGGGGGACCTTCAGCTCCCCAGAACTCCCCCAGAAGTCCCAGTCTGATCCCAGTGGGTGAGGTGTGGGAGGGAAGCCATCCCTTCTCCCCTCACTCTGTTGGGGCCTCTCATTACTCATCCCTCCTCCCTTCCACAGAGAATGGTTATGCCAGCACAGATGAGGAGATCTCAGAGTTCTCTGAGGGGAGGTGAGTTTCCAAGTCATGAGTGAGAGGACAGCTCATAGCATGAACCTGGGGCTGGGGGTGGGGGTTGCCATAGGATCCCAGGGCTAAGCCTAGATTTGGGGGCTCTTTGGAATCCACGTGTCTAAGGCTCAGAGAGCCAGAGGACAGGCTCTCAGTATCCTGAACTCCCTCTGCTTCTTCCTTAGCTTCTCCCAGTCATTCACCATGAAGGGTTCCACCAGCCATGATGATTTCAAGTTCAAGGTGAGCCCTATAGGAAGGCAGACAGGCTGCAGCAGGGCCAGTCTCCCTGTAGCCTGGTCTCCCATCTTTCTGTAGCTCTGCCCCCACCCCCCAGCCCTGACCCAACAATATTGCCTCCAGCTGGGATGGAGATGCCCTGGGTTGGAATTGGGAGGTGCTCGGATATGTGACCCCGGTTACAACCCAACCCTTTTTGAGATAGGTGGAAGGTGGGAGAAATGGCTGGAGTCACAGCCTAATGATGTCACCAGAGCCAGAGGCCCTGCTTTCAAAAATTGCCCCGTTCCCCACCAGACTCTGCCTCATGCTCTGAGTCAAAGACTAACTTGAGACCTCTAGCTATTCTGCATGCAGATTATTGATTCAATAATATGGGAGTCAACAATGGGGGAGTTCACCTACCAGTGAGGGGTCAGTTATTAATCTGAACCAAGAAAAAGAATTTATTAAAGAGAGAAGGGTAGGGACTGCAGACTGGGAACAGTGAGTTGTGCATAGTTTTTGGATAAACTGATTAGCTGGTGACCAGGAAAGAGGTCAGTCTGGGCATTCTGTGTGTGCAGAGTCCAAATAAGGGCAGTAAAACCCTTTCAGTTGCTTTGGATTCTCTACAAGTCTTGAGAGATGGTCTCTGGGTGGTGTTCACCTGGATCTTCCATTAGTGGTTTCACCATCGGCCAAGTGGCACTATTTCCTTCATTAGAATTCTCCCAGCTCTCCTGTTATGTTTGGGCAAGTTGGTTCACCACAGTCCTTCTGTTCCCAGGGTGAGCCCAAGCTGTCTGCCCAAATGAAGGCTGTGTCGGCCGAGTGCCTGGGTCCCCCACTGGATATCTCCACCAAGAACATCACCAAGTCCCTGGCCTCCCTTGTCGAGATCAAAGAGGATGGAGTGGGCTTCTCCATCCGAGACCCCTACTACCGGGACAAGGTCTCACGCACCATCAGCCTGCCCACCAGAGGCAGTACTTTGTAAGGAGGAGGGCCAGCCATGTGGGTCAGGGTGGGCAGGGAGTTAGGTCTGGGCCTCACTGGACTCTTCTGTTCTAGCCCCCGGCAGTCTCGAGCCACGGAGACATCACCACTGACCCGAAGGAAGTCGTATGACCGAGGGCAGCCCATTAGGTGAGAGCATGTTCCAGAACCTGCACCAGAGTCACTGCTGTCCTTGGATGCATGAATCGCTGTGATGTTCTACTCTGTAGATAATCAGGCATACTTTAATCTGGGCTGGTCTGACTAAGTCATTCAGCTTCCCCCAGTGGCCCCTTCCCCATCCTGTCAGGCATGGGCTCAGGAAATATCATCTCCATAAGCACCTTGAACTGGATGGCTAAGCCTGCTGCCCAAAACTGTTGGCTGATATGAGCTCAACATTGGTGGCTTTGTCGTGGCTTCAATTAGTCATTGTACTGATATGCTTCAGCTCCTTTTCATAACCACGGGTACTTGGGAGGTCTCAGCCCTTTCTAAAGTCTTGTCATGTGAGGAGCGTAGAAGTTTAAAGAAAAACCAGGAGATGATTGCAGAATGGTGGCCAAGTCTCTAATTGGTTAGCCATTCATAGCACTATGACCCACAGAACTTCTGCTGGTCACCAGATGCCTCCTGGGGTCATCTGGCATGCACTTAGTTTTCAGAGAGCTTTGAGGCTTTCTCCAAGTCATACAGCTTTGTACTAGAAGAGCAGGGGCTCAAGATGACCTCTTGCCACCACGCGACCTGATGGGAGACAGGAGGATTTGCTCAAGCTCCCAGCCCTCCCTCCAGTCCAAAGCCGGGGCAGATGCCCATACCAGTGGCTTGTGGTGGGGGCCTTCAGTGGGGAGGAGTTGCATGGATATCTGTATACTAGGGGCCTCACAGACCATCATCACTTCACCCGGGAACTGAGAGAACACACTTGAGCTGCGGTCTGAGGGCTTTAGGCTGAACTCATGAAGACCCTTCAAAGGAAGGGAGGGTGTAGGTCAAACCCGATGACAGCTTTCCAAGGAGAGGAAATGTTGGGCTATTGCAATGGGGTGGTACAGTGAAGTCTTGGACCCTTCCCTGACGATACAGTCAATCTTCAGTATTCATGGTACTTAACGTTCTATCTAGTCACTGTGAACATGGAATTAGTTCACTGAACTAATACTGAACCACTGCTTGTGGGGAAATTCAGGGGTAGGTTCCGGAGAGCTTCCGGTCATGACATTTTTGTCAGCCAGTCGATATAGAACCTTGTTTTATGTGTGTTTCTGTTTAAAGACATCCCATTTAATATATATTGTCAATTCATTAACATTGAACTTGCAGCCAACAGCACTGTAACTCACACCTGAATGAAGCTTTTCTAACACATGTATTTTCTCCATAAGACACATTTCAGCCTTCATGTGCTTAGACATGTGCCAGACAGCCCTTCAGGACTATGCTTTGGGGGTATTTTAAGCAGTGAAATCACCAATGAAAAGCACAAAAATGCAAAAAACATGGCCCTAAATAGACCACAAGAAGGCCACTTGTTTACGGTAGGAGAGCAAGAAGGCAGAGGGACGCCTCATTTGACCTCTGCTGAGAAGGTGTGCATCTGGGGACTTGAATTTTTGGCTGCTCTGCTCCATGTCTGGGAATGACCCCAAAGCACTGTGAGAGTTAATTTGGGATCACAAATCCGTTTTAATGCGCAAGTAAACTCCCAGATACAGAAGCCATGAATAATGAGGATGGACTGTTTCAGAACGGCATCCAGGAGCTTAACCCGGAGCCGGGATCATTGCACAGCAGGCCCTGCCCTGCAGGCCTTAGAACCAAGACAGAAGGTGGTGCGGGAAACAGTGCGCGTTTGAGGCTGTGGGCTGGGGGTGTGGTCACTGACAGATGCTGCTGTGTCCCCACTCGCCAGGTCCACAGATGTGGGATTCACGCCCCCTTCGTCCCCTCCTACTCGGCCCCGCAACGACCGTAACGTCTTCTCTCGTCTCACCAGTAATCAGAGCCAAGGGTCAGCACTGGACAAGTAAGAACCAGGGCGGGCCAGGGAGGGCGCTGCAGAGGTGGGCTGATCCTTGACACAGGCAGGGTTGGGGCAGCCGGCAGACCCTGACCACGCTGCTCCAGCCCCTCTGAGAGACGAGGCTCTGAAGCTCTTCTGCTGGTGTCTCTGTTCTTTCTATTCTAACTGTGGACCCTTCCTCCCCACCCCCCCCCACCCCCCAGCATGCTGGGACCTCAGGAGAGGGCAAGAAGGAAGCCACAGGGACAGGGGGCAGTCAGGTGGGGATGTTCACACAGGTCAGACCCCCCCCCCCCCCCCCCCCCCACATAGGGCCTCACCAGAACTGTGCCTTGAATCCTCTGCTGATTCTTTGACTCTTGGATTCTTCTCTGAAGCCCCTTCCTGGCACTTCAGCCACTCCCTCCCTGCCACACATGCTCAGGCGAGGTCCCAGTGGCCCTTGTGCACTGTCCCAGCAGAAAGGGACTCCCTAATTGCCTTCACATGGCAGGATCAGCCCGACTGATGTGTTCAGCTCCCACTGGGCTGCTGTGACAACGGATAGTCGAGTGGGTGTTAACAGCAATCCTGTGCGTTCAGAAGGTGCCTTCACTGTGCACCCTGCTTTCATATATGTGATTCACGTGGACTATAATCAACCATGAGAACTCTCTTCCCTATTTTACAGAAGAGGAAATGAGGTTTAAAGAGACCCAAGGACATTTACCTAGAAGGTGACAGACTTGGGCCCAGAACGTGGGGCCTCTGACGTGCTCCAGCATACGTTCCTCCCAGTGGGACTCTGCCTTGGGAGAGGGGGGACCCTGTCCTCCCCGTGCTCCTCTCTGTGCTCCCTACACTCTGGACCTTGCCCCAGCCCTCTGCAACTCTCTGCAGCCTCTGAGAGGGCTCTTCTCTTGGCTCCCTAAAAGCATCTCTACCCTGGCAGGGAGGAAGGCGGCAGCGCTGTTGTTCAGGGCAGCCCAGGCTAGAAAGTGCTAGCTCTTGCACCTGGTACCTGACATCAGCCCTTCTCCACAGAACTGTCTCTTGCCAGGTCAAAATACTGCTCCCTCCCCAAACCCACCTTGGCTCAGTTTCCGTTTTGGAAGGAGCATACGGAGCCTGGACCAGACCCACCAGGGTGCCCCCACCCCCACCATACCTTTACAGTCAGCAGGTCCCTTTTCCAGAAGCATGGAGGTGGGACTCTGGCCATTCCAGCCTGGTTGTCTTGCAGACCTTGGCCCTGTCCAGTGGACCAGATCTTGGAGCCCAGGCATGGTATAGACTCAGCTCCTAGGCCCATCCCAGCGGGCTTGCTGGGGACAGTGGGCTTTGTAAATAAGTTCCTGAGGAATCGCTGGAAGAAGCCAGCTCCTGGGGGTGGGGGGTGGGGGGGGTAGATAGGATCAGGCATGGCTTTTGGCCTCAGGCATGTAGGAACGTTGCTGGGGCAGGGCAAGGTGTTCCCAGCTTGTACGATGGGGCAGCCAGGGGCTTGGAACTGGCAAATGACCCACGAGCTGAACATCGCCCTGGAGCGTGGCCCTCTCCTCACTCCTACCCTGTTAGCTGAGGGACCCCTGGCGGCCGGCCCCACCCCACCTCCTCTCCTGCTTCCCTTAGCGCCCTTGCCCTCTGCCTCTCCCCGCTGCCCTTGAAGAGAATAACCTGCCCTCTGACCTTCCACGCTGCTGCTGCCTCTGCCATCCCTTCGTGTGTTTTCCTCTCTCCCCTAATCCAGCTAATTTTCTGCCCTCCCCAGGTCTGATGACAGCGACTCCTCTTTGTCGGAGGTCCTGAGGTACACACAGAATGTCTCCCGTGTTGGCTTCCCAGCTCTCACTCTCTACTGTCCCCTCTCTGCCTCTTGCTCCACCTCCCCTCCCGCCTGCACACCTGAGTCCTCAGCATGCCGCCCTCCCCACTGGCCTGCCTCTCCCTCCCCCGTGGTTCCTCCCTCTCAGGGTTGCTGCGTGGCCTCAGACTGGCCAGGCCCGGCTGGAGCTGGGGGCTTGGGGAGGGGTGCACAGTTGCTTGCCACAGGCACTGTTCTCTTCTTATCACCTGAGCATGGGAGCCCGGGGTTGTCTGGGGCTGGGACCGAGCTCTGCTGAGGGGCTAGGGTGAGGGGGCAAGGCTGTGGAAAGCCTGGGGGCCTGTAGGGCCCAGCTGGGCAGGGGTTGGTGGCCGTCCCCACCATCCTTGTGACTTGCTCAGCTTGTGCCAGTGAGGTGCACATTTCAGACCTTGGCTCTGAGAAGAGCAGCAAGGGGGGCGGTGCCTGCTGCTCACATCTCCTGGTATGTGGACCTCGGGTGCTAGGAGACCTCCTTTCCCAGCTTTGGGATGACCAGTGGCCAGTTTCTCCAGCTACCCCAGCATAGCACCCTACTACGAGGAGCATGTCCTAGGACCTGGTGGGCCTGAGCTCCTGCTGGGCAGAGAGCTCCCTCCGGCTCTCCCAGTGCCCACTGCTCACTGCACCTGCTGCCCGGGCTCTGATGTCTTTGCAAACCTGCCTGCAGGGAGCAAGGCTTTACCACCGCGAGAAGCTAGCCAGACTACCAGCCTCTCTCATAACCTTAAAGAGGGTTATCCTTGTGATACACTTTCCACAGCAGTCTTGGGCTTTTTTTCCCAGCCACACAGCTGGGCCCAAACCAGTGTCCAAAGAAGCAGGTATCTTTGGGGGCTCAAGTGTGTGACATCCAGCTGGCACCTGGCCCTGTCTGATTGCCATCCTTGCAGGGGGGCCTGGCTGAGTCCATGGGGGCTCTGACCAGCACTGTGGGAAGAACACTGGTCACTTCAGTAGCCCACAGGCCACGGCATCACTGTCAGGATCATTGTTCTCTTTGGAAAAGAACTAGAACATATTTTTAGACTTGCACATAACTTGGCCAGGGTCTCATTCCAAAAGACCCTCCTTGAGAAAAAAAAAAACATCCCCAGAACCTCCAGCAGGCCGGCGTAGCAAAATCCTCTTGCTCACTGAGGACAAGCCTTATTCTTCCTCCCAGAATGTTCGTGGGAAATGAGGAGGTGCTTCTCCAGGTGTATGTGGCCTCATTCCCCAGGGGGCCTCGACATCCCTAACCCAGAGCTGAGCTGAGGGCCCCTAAAGGGATTAAATTAGGCCTTTGTAAATGACAGTCACAGGTCTGACCATGCAGGTCCAAAAGGGGCTCATGGGTGGGCGGGAGTGTATGTGTGCACACTTGCACACACGTGTGCATTTATCAGCCCCAGAAGTCACTGACAGATGACACCGAGGTGCTTGGGGGGGTGACAGCCTGAGCATCCTCCCTCTCTGCACTCCTCACCTCACCCTGGGTTAACTGCAGCAGCAAGGAGGAGTCATAGTTGCTGCAGGAGCCAGTGCAGCCCTTGGGCCTCTGCCCTGCCTCGCTGGGGCGTCCATGCATTTACGTCTCAGGATCTGGTCGGGCGGGCATCAGATGGCAACTCCCCCATGGGCAGGGCCCACGTCTCCTTCCTGCTGTGCCTAGCACACGGTTTGCTCCCAGAAGTGCTCAAGATGGTGACTGACAGGCTGTTGTGCAGACAGGCCCTCCCCACCTGCACAGCCTATTCCCAGCTCTCAGGCACTGAGGGCATTTGGCCGGAGTCTCTGGGGTCTCCTTCATTAGGCCTTAGTCCTCTCTCCGTTCTGCCCCCTCTTATCTGTGTACCTCACTCAACCCGGCCTCAGTCTTCCCGGCTGACAGGTGCCCCCTTTCTCCCTCTCTCCTGGGAAGGGGCATCATCACCCCCGTTGGAGGAGCCAAGGGTGCGAGGACAGCCCCACTGCAGTGCGTCTCCATGGCCGAGGGCCACACCAAGCCCATCCTCTGCCTGGACGCCACGGATGAGCTGCTGTTCACAGGATCCAAAGGTGAGTAGAACCCAGACTGGCCTGGTAGGGTTAGGTCTCACACCCATCCCTGCTTGCTTTGCCAGAGTGGGCTGTAAGGATGAAAACACAGAGCCCCCAGGAGTTGAGGATGTGGGGTCGGCTTGCTCGCTACCTTGTCTCATGGCTCTTGCCTTGGCTCAAGGATCCCTGGCCTGGGTGCCCCTGACCAAGTCTCCCCTCATAGCTCATCCTAGTGGCTCCATTCAGCATTTCCTTCCGAAGCTTCCTCAGAAATTCCAGGAAGCTTCTCAGGTGCCCCACCCTGTCTCCTCATCCCAGTCCCCCAACACTACTACCCCCTGACATCTACCCCAGCACTTTCATCTAAGAATCCCTATGATCTTGGCAGTGGGACCTCACACAGTCACGATTACTTAATCACAGCAACAAAATCAGAAAAGTCTTACCAGCAGAAAGAACAGTTCTGCAGTAGACCTGTCAATAGAAAGACAGTCATATATATATATATATTTGCACGGCGAGAAGGGGCCGAGTTGTCAATCTAGGTGTGATCTGTTGATTCCAAGTTTTCTCCGTAAGATTTGCTCGCCGTTTGTTCATTGATCGTGTCAGCTATTAGCCATTGTAGGAATAGACACCAAAAGCTTAAGAATTTTATTTTAGCCCAGGGCACCTTGGCCACACACACAGAACTCTGGTCTTTGTATAGAGTTTGCTTGAGAAACCCTGGCCTAAAGTTCTAACGGACTTCTCGCCGGGGTTTTTCTGGGCGCGCACACACCACGTGAGCATGCACGAGCCCATCTTTCTCTCCCTTAGACCTAGGGCTCCTCCCTCTGGATGTCTGTGGACCGTCTCCCCCATCCTTTACAACCCCCGTGCAGGGGGAGCGTGCGTGACCTGGCCCCTGCTAACGGACACCTGCCCTCCCCCTCGCCTCTCTCCCTGTCCCTTCCAGACCGCAGCTGTAAGATGTGGAACTTGGTCACAGGCCAGGAGATCGCGGCGCTAAAGGGCCACCCCAACAACGTGGTGTCTATCAAGTACTGCAGCCATTCTGGGCTTGTGTTCTCCGTGTCTACCTCCTACATCAAGGTGTGGGACATCCGGGACTCTGCCAAGTGCATTCGGACCCTCACGTAGGTACTCCCCCAGTTGGCTTGTGGTGGTGGGCTGGGTGCCAGTACTCAGCCCTGGTGACCTACTCAGTATAGCCGAGTCCAGCTACTTGGACACGGAGGCCCTTATAGTCACATGGATTTGACCTGAATCTGGGGAACAAAGTGAGATCCCTGGGCTAGGGGACAGCGTCCAGGACAGCAACTTGAATGAGCCTTTGCACTGTTTGGCCCCCTCGCTTCATCTCAGCCTCCCGGGCTCTGGCCCTGGGGTGTGCTGGGCGGCCCCCTGTGAGCCTGAAAGGGGAGCCGGGAATCAGGGTGGCCCCAGCAGACGGCAGCAGACTCCAAAGCCGCGCTGGCCACCTAGCTGCCTAAATGAGCCGCCAGAGCTGGTCCTGATCCCCGACCCTGACAGTCTCAGGTGGACAGACGTGCGGGAGACAGAAGTGAGACAAGGGCTCCAGCAAAGTGAAATTGTTTCCTAACAGAAGTCTTGCTCACCCTTGTGTTTACGTTATAAGCTGTCATCTGTGATTTAACTTGATCCTTTCAAAAGAGTAAACACAGAGGATTTTTAGGGCAGTGAAACTCTGCTGTGTGAGACTATAATGGGGGATACGGGTCATTACACATTTGTCCAAACCTCACACCATGAGTGAGCCCTCAGGTCAGCTGTGGACGGCGGGGGATTATGATGTGTCCATTTGGGTCCGTCGGTTGTAGCAAACACACCCTTCTGGTGGGGATGTTGGTAAGGGGGGGAGGGCTGTGCATGCGTGGGGGCAGGGGATACGGGAAACCTTCCCCTCAATTTTGCTGTGATCCTGTAATTTCTCTAAGAGTAGTCTTTTTAAAAAACCAAAGAAGCGCAGGAAATAGAATGCATATTATCACCTCTTTTTAAAGAGGAGGAAACTGAGACTCAGAAAGATTAAGCGTTTTCCACCAGACCCTGGTTCAAACCCAGTTCCCTGACTGAGTCTTACCGTCTTTTTCTGCTGGGTGGGGAGTGGCACTATCACCATTGATCTCCCCCACCTCAGACTAGAAACTTCTAAGAGGAGCTTGGCTCCTCTCCGTCGGTCAGGGAAGACTTCTTGGAAGAACTGGGTTATCAGGTCTGGTCTGAGTGACGTTTGCTCGGTTTCCTGCCTGTGTGGATGGACCGCTTTGATCTCTGACCTTGCTTTCCTTGCTTGTGGCAGGTCCTCGGGTCAGGTGACCTCAGGCGACGCCTGTGCTGCCACATCCACCCGCGCTATCACCAGCGCTCAGGGGGAGCATCAGATCAACCAGATCGCCCTCAGCCCTTCAGGCACCATGCTGTATGCTGCCTCGGGCAATGCCGTCCGCATCTGGGAGCTCAGCAGGTCAGGGAGATGCGTGGGGGGCAGCAGGGGGCTTGGCATGGCGGAGGTGGGTACGCTGATCGCGGCTCTGGGTGCCATACCCCAGGGCTGGCAGGACCCGGGGGTCCTCTGCTTCCCCGTGCTGTCGGCCTTGTGTCCCTGCTCTGAGATGCAGGTCCCATGTTCCCCAAGATCCCTGGGACCCAGGACAGCTTATGTCTAGATTGTTCATCTTGTTTTGAGGGAGGGAGAGTGCCCTGGCCAGATCTATTCATTCCAGGATGAACCCGGCCACCACAACCCAGGGTTCCCTCTGATCTATCTCCCCCCACCGGTGGGCCTCTCCCCACCCGCAGGTTCCAGCCCGTTGGCAAGCTGACTGGCCACATTGGCCCTGTGATGTGCCTGACGGTCACCCAGACCGCCAGCCAGCACGACCTGGTGGTGACGGGCTCCAAGGACCACTACGTTAAGGTACCTAAGAAGACCTCCCTCTGCGGCCTGGGGCAGAGGGTGGGGGGCATTCTCTGCGTTTCTTCTGCCTGCTCCCCCCACCCCGTCGCCTTGGGAATACTCATGAAATATAATGAGACTTCTGGGGATTTATGCTGAGGAAATCACCCCAAAGAAGCAAGCAGGTGTGTGCAGAAAGTAGATGGCAGCGATATTTTGTAAATGGTGAAGAATTTAAAACCACTAAATGTCCAAGGGTCGAATAGCAGTCACATAAATTAGGGAAAACCTGCTGAATGGGCTGCAGCGCACCTACTAAAATGATAAAATGAGAACAAAACACAAAGGATACAAAACAACACTAATTCCGTTTGCTCCCCGATTACATCATTGAAAGCTACATGTACACAGTCAGAAACTGGAAAGCGATAGAGAAGCAGAGGGTGGTCGGTGCTATGATGAATGTTTCTATTTAAAGTACAAGTAATATTTATTACAAAATAAAAGGAATTTAAAAGGAGGTTCATACTCCAAACCCACCTTTCTCCAGATCGGCTGCATGTTGAGCTGTGTTAATTTCAGCCAGTCTCCCCCTACCCCTTGCCCCAGTCCCCTTAGGAAGGGTCAAGACCCGAGCCTTCAGAGGCCTCTGTCCTTGGAAGAAGCAGTGTTCCTCCGGGACCCCTTTCCTGCTGGGGACACCTCTCTCCCCCAGGACAGTGGCTACTGCCCTGGGCCGGGCAAACTGGGTCTGTGGGCTCCTGGGGACCACAGTGCTGTGTGATAGCAGGGGGGTGGCCCTGGCCCTGGCCCTCCTCCCTCGGTCTCTACTGCCTCGGGCCCTCCCTACCAGCCTCTCCTCCTGCAGATGTTCGAGTTGGGCGAGTGTGTGACCGGCACCATTGGCCCCACCCACAACTTTGAGCCCCCGCACTATGATGGCATCGAGTGTCTTGCCATCCAGGGAGACATCCTCTTCAGTGGCTCCCGGGATAATGGCATCAAGAAATGGGACCTGGAACAGCAGGAGCTCATCCAGGTATGGAGGGTGGAAGGGAAGGGGGGGGGGGCGCTAGGGTGGGGCTGTTCCCCAGTCCAGGCAGGGCCTTGGGGACCCAGGGTCTTGGGCCAGAGCCTCCTCAGCTTTCCTGTTGTCCACCCTCTTCCCCTTTGTGTCCACTCCCCTGCCTCCCTGCAGCACCGCCCCCCCCCCTCCATTTTCCCCATTACGCAGCGGCTTTCAGGAAAGGGGGCTGCTCTCAGCCGCTAGGTTTGACTCTAAAGCTGAGTCACCATGTTCCCTTTCCTGAGCATTTAACCCTGGGAGGGCTGAAGAGTTCTCCACCAGTGCAGGATCTTGGGTTTGTCCCGGGATGGGGGAGCACCAAAGGACCCATCTCTGGGCCCCTGCAATCCCTACTATGGGCCCGCCTGGCCTGCCTCCTGGACCAGTGATGCCTACCTGGGGACCTCAGAGGCAGAGGGGCTCCTGGTAGCTGTCCTTCGTGGCACAGGGTCCTCTGCTGGCTTCTGCCCACTCAGCACTGGCCCCAGCCCTCACTGGCGCTGTTCCTTCCGCAGCAAATCCCCAATGCACACAAGGACTGGGTGTGTGCCCTGGCCTTTGTCCCGGGCCGCCCCATGCTGCTGAGCGCCTGCCGCGCGGGCGTCATCAAGGTCTGGAACGTGGATAACTTCACGCCCATCGGAGAGATCAGGGGTCACGACAGCCCCATCAACGCCATCTGCACCAATGCCAAGCACATCTTCACTGCTTCCAGGTGCGTGCTGGGCAGAGAGGTCTGCTTTTGTTCCCCACCCCGGTCCCCGGTGTGGGCAGGGCAGGCTGGGGAGCCTCGGGCCCCCCTGCAGCTATCCTAACAGGCTCGGTTCTTGGAGCAGACCCCACAGCGCCTGCTAGCCTGTGCTGGCCTTCAAAGAGTGCCCAGCGGGGGCAGGGGAGCAGGAAGGTGCTGGGCCCCAGGTCAGGACTCACCCCCTTATCTGCAAGCCTTTCCTGCCCCTCACAGAGCAGCCCCCACCCTGCTGTCTTTACACCCCCC